GGGGAGGGAGAGGGGGGGGGGAGGCGCCCCGCCGCGGGGCCGGGCTGAGGAGGGAGGGGGCGGAGCCTTCCGATCCCTCCCGCGCATGCGCCCCGGCGCCCCAGCCAATGAGCGGCCGGGAAGGAAGTGCCTGCCGGCCAGTCAGAAGTCTCTAGGGGCAAGTCGCCTGACGTCGCGGCGTGAGAATGCGCGACGGGCGGGGAGACGGCGGGGCGTCTGGGGATTGGCCGAGCCGGCGGGGGAAGGCGGGCCCGGGCGGGGCGGGGGGGGGCTGTCCCCACGGAGCGCCGTGGGACCCGCTTCCGAGGAGGCCGAGAGGGCCGCTGGAGCGGCCCCTGCGTTCAGCCACGCCTCCCGGCTCCGGGGGCTTCTGGGCCGGCCGGGTTGGTGCCCCGCTCCCCACCCTGGAGGCAAAGTGGCCTTCGCTCTTAGTGTGGGCCGAGACGACTAAGGCTCTTCCCGCCCCCCCCCCCCCCGGGAAAGGGCCGTGCGCTTACACTGTCGTGGTCAAGGATGCGAGGAAGTAATTGAGCTTTCAGCTGGGAAGTGGTGTGGTTGCGTGAGTAAGGCTTGAAACGCCGCTCTGTCTGGGATGTCCGGACGTGCCGGCGTGAACTTCCTAGCTGCCTTCCCGACCCGTGGCGAAGTATCTGCTGGGAAACAACCTTCACAGGGGCTGTCTGCAGGCTGTCGCCACTAGCTTTGTGTATTGTAGTGACCTTTAGCTCTGGAAAACCAAACCACCGCTGTTTAGAAAGTTCACCGTGGCTTCAAAATGCATTCTCGAAAGTCTTGAGGCAGGACATCTTGAAAAACAGCCTCAGGCTGTCATGAGTCATAAATAATTACATGAAACATTGTTTCTGATGACTGACTTTGTTGGTCAGCCACCAAAAGGAGATAGATGTTCCCGCTGCTAAAGTGTGAGCCCAAACGAGAATTACCTGTCAAATAAGCATTGGTTTGTATTGTAATAATATAAAAGCAAGCGTGTTTGTATTCTTGATTTATTTAGTATTATTTTATGCTTTGTAATATTTTCTCTTGAAATCATTATGTACATGTGTGTATATTAAGATATAAATGAAAAGTTTTTCTGGACTTTGGAGAGTGTTTGACAGTCTCTTTAATCTGTGTCCATGAAAATACTGTTATTTAGTGTTTTCCATCCATAATTCTCGGCTTCTCTGAAGAAACGGGGGAGGTGCCATTGTCATATTGCAGAAAGAGGTTAAATACTCTATGTCTTCGTGAAGCGTTTTGTAGCCGTAACTGAATCTCTACAGTCAAATGTTCTGCATTTGGGAGATTTGTTACAATCCACTTTTTATGTCTGTCATGCTGCGTTCTTCCTATATTTCTCACCGACCCTTGACGTTCTGTGCACTTACAGGATTTGATCCCCCATAGAGCAGGCCCTGAGAACTAACAACTGCAAGGACAACAGTTCATCTGGTAACACCGAGAATGCCGCGTGATCAGTGACTCTTTCTATTTCGTGATAGAATAATTACTGATGTAGAAAGCAAATTCGGTAGCCAAGTCTCATTTTCTGTGCCTCCTTGGTGTACCCGGGCTCCTCTCCTACTCCCTTCAGTGGATAGAAGGTCGCATGGAAGGTGTGACACAGGACAGCTCAGCGTGAAAGAGTGTTTGACGTTCCTTTTGTCAAGCGCTGTCTTCCCTTGCGTTTGTACTCCATTATTGCCCAGGAAGCTGACATACCTCCGCACTGTACCATGCTGTGACTTGCAGCCTCAGCACTGATAATAATATGCAACTAAGCAGACAATTTGTATCCCTCAGCTTTTGTGGTAGGTAAGCTAACAACGGGCATTAAGTACAGTGCGGTGTCTGATTCTGAGCTACACTTTTTTTGAATTTCAGCAGCTGGTAAAATATTTTTATTGCATTATTATGGATAACCCTTAGTATCAGGCTGACGACTGCGAACCTGATGCCTTTTTGCTGTTTTTAGTGCCTGCGTCACTTGTCCCTTGCAAACACAGTACTGCAAGGCTGGAATGACCAACTCTGGATTAGAAACTTAGTACCTGTCAGGAGCAGAGTACCAAGAAACATCTCGGCTGTTATATCTGGAACAGACTCAGTGGAAATCATGGAAAACAGCAGCAACTTTTTAGGCCTTGGAAGGCTTAGATCCAGATTTAAAGACATGTCTCAGTTGGCACTTTAAAGGAAGTATTAGTTATGCAGTTATGCTTGGATTTGCCTCCCACCTCTGGTTTTATTTTTATGTGAAATTGTGAAAATGTGCTGATGCACAGCATTTTTAGTTCTCTGTGAATGCATTGCTTTAGCTTTTATGGTTAAGATTGTTGCTTTGTAAAATGTTAGATGCAGGAAAAAAAGGTCAGTTTTTCTGTTTTTTCTTTTCCTCTCTCAAATTCAGCAATCCTCAATACTTATGCAGAGGACATCTGGCTGAAGAATGGCTTGCGGGCATGGACTGGCAGAAGCAATGTTTGTAATGCAAGGAATATATCCAGAATGCCACATCGCTGTGACGGAAGCATGAGCTCAGCAGACGGCTTTCTTTTGTACTACATGTCACTGTCCTGTGTGACCAACCTTTGGCAAGACGCAGTGCTCTGAATGCCTCTGCTCAGGTGCATGTTTACCTGGAGGACTCCAAGGACTTTGTCTCCTTCCTCCCCCACGTTAGCCGTGCACGCTACAGCATGCCTGCTGTGGCATACAGTGGTGTCCGTCCACCTCTCGTCTCCATCTTCTAGCTATGATGAGTCTTGCCATGATGCTGTTCCCTGTCCTTCTTGGTGCCTTTTATAAAGATGGAGGAATGAAGCGCTACTGCATGTAGGGGAAATGATGCAGCAGCCGCTATTTATGTGGGGAAACTGGAAAAAGGAAAGCCGAAGTGAGTTGTGGGTGATGATGCAAATCCTGGGCAAGGGTTAGGAGCAGACTTCTATTTCCAGTCACCCCGTGTTTTGTCTTACCCTTGTTTCTTCGTACCTGATTATCTCTGTTCTGCGACATGAAGGTGATTGATAGCACTGCAAACTGCTTTGACATTTGCAGAGCACAAGCGGGGGAACACTTCATTCGATAACTCTTAGGCAGACGCCTGCTTAAGGAAATTGGAGAAGGTGCCTGTAGGTGCAGAGCAGCTTGCAGAAGGGTTCTGGTGGAGTCCTTGCCACAGCATGGGCCCTGGTTCTCTTCAGGAGTTTAACCTTCCTATCGGCTTTGGGGCACTAAGACTTTGCTGTAATTTCAGACCTCTACAGCCAGAAGTGTTACCGTGTCCCTTTCTCCACCAGCAACTGCCAGCTGAAAGCAGGCAGTGGTGGCAGCAGTGCGTGCTGTTTTGTTGAAATACTAAATTTTACACAATACCAGCTTGAAGTCACCTTAAAAATAATTTTTTAATCATAGAAATAGTATATTAATGCTTATGCTAAAATGTAAACAGTAGGATGATAGGCCAGAGTACCAGTTTCTAGCTGGTGGGGTATGCTGCTACTCAGTGTGAAATCTGAAATGAAGCATGGGCTGCCATGGGGCTGGCACTTTCCCTGAGGATGCAGCAGCATGTGTTTAAGCTGTGGTGCCGAAGAGGCTGCGCCTGGCTGAGGAGGAAGATGAAGTATGCATGTGGTTTGACAGTACAGCTAACCCAACCTAGTGACTAGCTGTTGCCAAGGGGGGCAGCTGTGTTTTACAGCCCTGACTAGTCTCTCCCCACTCGGTCCCTGTGCTGCTACTGGTACGTGTCTGACCCTGCAGTGGCCTGATTCAGGGAGCTGAGTGGCAGGAAAGTTTCCCTGCATTTTGCAGGGCTAATTTTCTGCTGATTTTGCTTCCTGAACTGTCTCCTGAGACATCAGACAGGTGTTGGTGCTAACACAAAACAGGGTGATGGGAAGGCATAGCAAGTGAGGGGGAGTAGAAATACCCTTTTATGCAGCAGCTGGCTGTTAGATTGTGTTTTCTGTACCCTCTGACTGCATCCTGAGTCCTCCTAACAGCAGATGTTACAAATGCCTACGTGGAAATACGGGTGTGAGATACATACTGTAGTAGGAGATAAAATCTGGTTTTGGTTTTCTTAGGAAAACCAGTTGGAAATGTGTTAACATGTATTTAATATAGCAACTGCTAAACTAGAGGATAAATATAAAGATAAATCAGTTTATGAACCTTAGCACTGACAAATAGTCGTGAAAGCCGTTAGTCTTTCATGGTCTCAATCTCCCATCTTGCCGGGATGGTGAAGACCATTAACACTTAGGTAGTGTTCAGGTTGGCAAGGCATGCTGGAGGGGCTTCGCAGCTAGCTAGGTAGCTAGTGGCAATCTGTGTAAAAGTAGAGATTTCTTCACAAGACCGTTAGTAGGAAGGCACTTTGTTTTAGAAGGCCCAGATGTGCTACATTTGGCTTCTGATGAGCTATTTGCAAAAATAATCTTTTGGTGGCTTTTGGTCTTTGCTAGGGATAGAGAGAAAAGCTACTGGAAATTCATTATTTATGCTTAGATGCTTCCTTCTTTTCCAGCCTTTTCCCCATACTGGATTACCTTGATGATTTTGCAAGACACTATTTCCATTCCAATGAATAAACATCTCAGTAGGAATCTAATCTAATTTTTATGAAATATGCTGGATCTTTTGAACTTACGATCCAGGTTTTGCTGGAACAAGAACTTGCAATGGCATATAAGAATCTTTAAAAAATCCTTCCTTTCACATCACAGTATGATTGTAGACTCATAATTTCACCAGGTTTATCTGTCAGTGACATAAAGAACAGTTTCAGTGGGATAGCCAGCAATGTTTTTTCGTACCTGAAGCATCACTAGAAAATAATGAAGAGATCTGATGTCGCACTGTATATTTTTGTGCTGTATGATTAATTTGATTCTTTATGGAAGCTGCTGTCTATAATTATAGCACACGTGAGAGAGAAAGAACACCTGAAAACTTATCAGGGGGCTGCTATGAAGAAATACACAAATCATTTGTAAATTCCCTCTTCTTGCTGAAATCTTAGAGAAACTGTTGTCTCTTATGTGTCAAGAGTGAGGGGGAGGTTATATTTCACTATTGTCAAAAAGTGACCGTTCCTAGATAGCATCTAGTTAACAACAGCCCGAGGGTCTGTGCCATCTCATCGCTTGTACCACCGTTTATGCACAGTCTCTCAACATCACTATTCTTGATGGAGTCTCAGCTTGATAAGTTCTGCACTGATATGTAAGAAGGTGTTATCGCTGCTCTGAGGAGCCTGCATTCTGTGAGAAAAAAGGGGAATCTGTCATCATCTGCCTTTCTTTTTTGGTTGTTGTTGGGTAATCTCTTAATCCAGTAATATTTTGATCAAAATCTTGCAGGTGGTACATGTCAAATGGCATTTTTGCAGAGATTAAATGAGGAATTGTTTGTCAAGTAACTGTATCGGGAAGGATTTTCCATGTGTGGGGGAATGTGCAGGGAAAGGCCTGACAACCCTTGTGTGCTGATTCGTGTTATTCACTGGTGAATCAAGTATAGTGGATTCAGAGTGTATTTGATTTTATCAGTCATTAAAACTGTTTCAATTAAAGATCAAGTTATCTGCAGACTACCTCTCATATATGCTGTATGCCATTATGTTCTCTAACATACGCCATTTCTCAGTAGTCTTTGGAGTCCACTTAACGAACTGTGTTGTCACCCTGTGTAACCGTCGGGACTGTAAAGTCCTAATCCAACAAACACACATATGGCCAGCTTCGTTCCTGTGCAGGGACTTGCGAAGGAAAGCCTGCCATCTACCTAAGATTTTATGTGATAGGGATCACGGTTCATTAGGTTCCTGTGAAAATGCAGGATCCACCTTGGCACTTTATGTGACCATACTGCAAATGCAGTACAGTGAGGATATCAATATCTAAAATATAAAAGGAAGTCAGACGTGAAAGATGACAAGTCTTTTTCATCATGATAACACCAAAATAAGAGAAACTACCTAGGGTCACTCACATGTTGATGCTATGCGGATGCCTGTTCAAAAGAAGTTTGGCCAACCTGCATTAAGGGGTGTTGATATCAAAAGCAAGCCAAGCATATAAAAACAAATCTAAAAATATACCCATATATCAAAAAGTACCACATTTGCACAAGCTGACACCCCGGATAGGACTCTCAGTATACAGTAAAAGGGTGTGACCTGGACTGCAGACAGAACTGCTGTTGCTTTCCTGCACCTTCAACTTTTCCAGAATTTTAGTCTAGAGTTAAAAACATGTTTATTAAAAGTACTGCTGGGATGCTTGCATTAGTACTTATGCTGGCTTACCTATTGCAGAATTAATCGCATGGAGTTAATAGCACACTTGAACTGCTTCAGCGTTACTCAAATTAGATTTCACCCTAGTGAGCTGATGGTCTTGTGACACACCAGAGTGCCTGCCATTTCCACATGGATGCTGTGTGCACAGTGGAGGGGTAGTTCAGTCTTGATGTATTTGTACTATAAAGAGTGTACTTGCTGGGAAGTGGAAGCCTATGGGCTTATGGAACATAGTGGGCCTATGTTCTTAACCCAACCCCCTTCAGCTATCAGAAAAAATACTGGAGTGAAAAAAAAAAGTCAAACAAGAACCCTGATATTCTTTATTTTTATTATAATTTTAACAACATGAGTAAATTGAAATCTGTAAGCAAAGCAATTGCATGAGGAGGGTCTAATAAAGTTGTTCAAGCTACAACCTACTTCGATTGTTGAATCAAACTGCATAAAGCAGGCTGCTTTGATGGGTTTTCAGCTTCCACGAATATAATTGGCAGTGACATCTTCTTTTGCTTTAATGGCAATGGTCTTCTGTGGGCTGGAAGTTTCATAATCAGCTGAAAGTAAAAAAAAATTTAAAAAATTGGTCACTACTACAAATAGGAAAATTGCTGAACCAAGTACTATGCTCAGTTCAGCTGGTGAAATCTCATCAACTTCAGCAGGATCCAATTATAAAAAAATTTCTCCCTGACCTGAGCAGAAGAGCAAGTTGTAATCTGTGGATCAGATTCTCAGACGTTCCATGACTGATGGTGATTAAGGATCTTAAAAAAGCCCAACCAAACAACCCAGCCACTGTAAAGGCGTTCACAGGTTATTCCCAGAGGACAAATGTTATGAGCCCTTGGATTTCGGGGAGAACTTGTGTTCTTAGTAATGGAGCTTCCCCAGGATCACAGCTTTAATATTTGGACTGTGTAGTGGGAGGAAGAGGGAAGGCATATTGCAAGAAACACCACCACAGCTCCTTTGCAGCCACTACTGTAGCCCCCAGATGCTGTAGCAGCTTTTTAATCTCACACCTCAAATCTCCAGGGAAGTGAAACTCATAGACCTACTGGTGTATTCCTAAACCTCATTCTTGCTCGGCAGTGCTGGAAACCACCCGTCTCCAATGCATTGGGAATCTCTGCATGACTGGATTTGGGGTATTATTCCCCTTTGTCAGCTTCTCCAAACCTCGCCTTCTACCACCCAGCCTTACGAAACACGAGAACCACCCTAGTCTTCCTGCTTCCAGCAACCTCACAAGCCCTTCCCGGGGAGCACATGTTCGCCATCCTTGTGGCACACTTGCTTTTAGGGACAAGTACCTGCTTTGTTCTCCATCCAGAAGGCAGTGATATGCAGCAATGTCTTTCTCCAGCTGTTGTTTGCTGGTCAGCAGATTTTCACGATCCCGCTGCTGCTGCTCGGTTTCTACTTTGATTTCTCCCATCTCTGCCTCCAGCTTGGAAATGACAGAGCCTAGGTTCTGCAGTTCGATGTCGTGCCAGTGCTTGGCGTCGTATAAAGAGTTCTCCAGACCCCTCTTCTGTAAGGGCAGGACAGCAGACATTAAACCAGTCAGTTTTCATATGCTTCATAGTGATTTTTTATTCAGGTTTGGCCAATATCTCTATTGAATATGCTTAAGTGGAGATGTAATATTTTGAGAATTCCTTCCTTTAGTTACTTTGAAAAATGTGTATTATCATTACAAAGGTTGAACTACTTTGGTTACAAGGTGCAGATATTCTTCACATTGTCAAGTACTACCCACCCAGCAATCTCGGTGAAATTATCATTGAGTATGAAGGCACTGAAGATTGCAATTTGGGCCCCGGTTGTCAAATGTGGTACACTAGGTGCACCACATCAATCAAGAAGAGCCCAGAAATGTCTGGAAACAGTATCTGCTGGAAAATGCGATTTATTCTAAAGTCTGCATCCCAAGATGGGAATGTTTTCCTCAGAAGGCATGTTGAATTTGCACCAAATATAGCCATTGAAAACCCAGCATTACTTACCAAGGTTCTCAGAGATTCAGTTTCTGCTTGCAAGCTCTGTATTTTGCAGGCAGTTTCATGAAACTCAGTTCTCAGGCCCTCCACCAGCTCTTCCTCCTGGGTTCGCACGGCAGCCGTCGTTTCAGCCTGTTGCTGGTAAAAGATTGCGACTGTCATCTCAGCCTACTCAAATGATGTTTTTGTTTCCTTACATACCAAACTGACACTTAATATTTTCACAGTTTGTGGCAATTCTGACTTTAAGTTTGATTCTTGTATATTAAATCCCTCAGTTGAACAATTCTGGATATTTCTTAGTGTCAAAATTATCATATTTTCTATGCATTTACTGTAAAGTGGCTTGTACAGATAAGCGTATATATTTTAGCTATGTCAGCAAAGGCTGTTCAGCATTCAAACTAGTACGTTTAAAATTACGTATAAAAAGAAAATGTTGCCGCAATTTTTCATTTTGTAGCTCTACTATAATATTTTTTTAGAAGTTAAGTGTTTTCACTTAGTCTATTGGATTTCGGAAGTATTCACACCATGATTTTTCACGTTGGATTCTATGAGTCAGAGAGCAAGTCATATCACAGAGGTCAGAAAAATAACTTCTGTTAATTGAATTAAGATATTCTCATGCAATTTCCTGGTCTTGTTGCTTGTGGGTTTTTATATGTGTTTAGTTCAGGCTCCTTGAAAATAGGTGAAGGAGAAGGTACCTTAGTAAAAATAAAATTTCTATACTTTTTAATGAAGGCTGAGATCAAGGTTTTCAATCCAGTGCTCTGGGCTCTCTAGCAAATACAGTTCTTCAGTCAAAACCTACATTTCTTCTGGCTGATGCTAAAGTTCAACTATGCAAAATACTTCCATTCCACTCTGAAAATTCATCTTGACCCTGTCCTCTTTTTCTCATTATGCATTCTTTCATTTTAAAAGTAAGATTAAATTTAAAAAAAATCTGGGACCATGCACCAGAAATTATTTCTATAATTTTTTTTTGGTACCATCATGTGAACCTCACACCTTGGTCGTTGCGAATGAAATCATCTCAGGAGCAAAAGGTCATTTAAGTGCCAGTTAAGTCTCAAACAGAACTTAGGATTTAGGAACCTGCGTTGCAGAGGGCTGAAATTCAATCCAAACATCAAAACCCTCCTTTCCAGCAAATTGCACAGAGCCTGTATTTTTCAGAAATACTTTATAGGGGCTTGTGCTTCAGAGAGACATAATCCCACCTCACTAGTCCTGGTGAACCCAGCCTAGTGCTCATGGACCTGCCACTCTGGAGTAATGTGTATCTCCTAAGTTGCGTTGAGAGTGTAGTCTGCACGTTATTATGGTATAAGGACTATGAATGCCTCTTTTTAAAAGATGCATAGGGCAGAGAGGGTGCCTTTGCATCTATAGTTATAGCTTACACCCATTGCCTGAAGCCTGGCATCTCTCATTCACATTTACCCTGCTGGTGGCCCGAATGCTACGTATACATCCAACTTGCCCTCACCACAGGTGATGCTGAAACTCATCCAGGAGTTACCCTAAGTTGTCACAGCTACCCAACATTAGTGATGTGAATGATGGAACAGGCAGATGGAGTGGATAGAGGTGGCCACATCAGACCCTAAATACTGAGGAGGACACAGCAAGTAAGCACATACTGGATGAGCTCAAAAGCTTTTGGTACACACAATGTTTCCCCATCCTCCTAGGATTACCAGCTGAGTGGCCCCAAGAGTCCCTGTGGAGGGTGCTGCTGGGCATGACACTTGGCCTCAGCTTCGAGGTTCCTTCTGTAGAGAAGTGCAGGCGTAGTCTTTGTGCCCTCTTCACTAGGCAATTTGTGTTTTCTGGGGGCTCTCTTCTTCCCATTCCAGAGATGCTCCAGAAGGGAAAGGCCATACTGAATTGTGGTGTCCACAAACAGCTGGATTAATGGAGGGGGGAGATGAAATCATCCTCCAGAATCTCTATCATTTTGTGTGGACTTCAAGCACATCTGTACAGCTCTGAGCCAGGCATTGTGCAAGAGTGCAGAATCTCTCATTAGTCTGTTTTGCATGGAATCAAGATAATTAAAGGATGATTAGGGGTCGTACACCAACATCCAGGGTCTGATCAGCATGATAGCTGCAGAAGGAAAGTGGCTTTGATAAGCTCTTAAGAGTTCTGGGAACGTGTTAGCAAAGAAGGGAGAAACAATTTACATCATTCACAAGACTTTTCAAAACCTTGTACAAGATCTAGCATAGGGGATGACAGAGGAAGCTGTGTAATTGTCTCCTCCGGGCAGAGCATCGCCATGGATCAACAGCTGGTCAAGAGACAGGACATGAAGAGGAGGATTAAAGTCTAGTTCCATTATGGCGGAAGCTTAACAGCTTGATGCCTCAAGTTTTACTGCCATGGGGATGAATCATGAACGAGAAGGATTTAGGGATGGCAGAACACAATACAGACTAGCAATGAGCAGGGGTGGATGTGTGGAATCAAACTACGTGAGTGAACAGCACCACATCATTAAATAAAGCATTTGTCAGTGGAAAACATTAAACAGCTTGCATGCCTTACAAGGGTTTAAATCACTTGTGCCAATTCAGGGAAAGGTTTTGAGCATTATGGACAAAAAGTGCAGAGGTCAAACCAATGGACTCGAGTTTTGAGGTTACTTACTCACCTAAAAAAGTCCCATGTGAAACCCCATTAGGTATGAATGTAAATCCGTATGTTTTCGTGCCTGAATACCCATGAAAAAATCTAGCCAAGACTGCAAGTCTAGTCAGAAGACAAAGCAAATGAGGCAAGGGAATTAGTCAGAAAAATAACAAAAATTCTGCCCTGACATCTAAGTCAGTGCTAGGCCACCAATTGAAATACCTTGGGCTCACCTGGTCACAGCTACGCCAGAAAGTGGGTACAGAGAAAGGAAATTAAAATACTAGGGACCCAGGAAAACCTCATGGAGAGAGACTGAAGAAACTAGTAATGAAGAGCAAAGGAGAGGAGGGAAGGGCTCTTCCTCCTCTGATGTCACGAAAGAGTAAGGGCAAATTTTTCAGTGTGGATAACTAAGTGGTGCAACTTAGCCACATAAGATGACTTAAGTCCACAAGCTTAGTTGGAAAAAAAGCTGAACTCTTGTTATCTGTATAAATAGCAATAAGCTGAATAGATCTGTGTGAGATGATGCAAAACTGTATGAGATACAAAACTGCATCATCTGGGTGTAATGAGAGGTGTATCTGGGGACAAAACCCCCTAGAATGTCATACCAGAAACTGCTTAGAACCAGAACTGATCTTTCCAGAAATCTGTGATATTCTGATTCCTCCTCCTGTTAAAAAAACAAACCAAAACAGGAACAACTTAAACTAATAAGAGCTTAGACTAAGATGGCCAAGTAGGGAGGGTTTAGGTATCAGATATGATAGTGGGATCCAATGATCAGTCTAGTATGAGCTGGCGGTTTTCTCCCCAAATGATACCTCTGAGCAGCTGAAAGACCAGACAGTGAAGGTATGAAAGAAATAGGAAGAAAAAAGTTGTGAGGGTGTGTTTGCGCAGGAGGAGGCAGAACAAACAGGACAGGAAAGTGAGGACACTGAAGAATTTGGTGCCATCAGAGTAATGCTCATTTTGCTGAAACCTGGCAGTGGGCCAGGAAGAGATTTTCTGAGAAAAGCTTAGGAGTCTACTGAGGATGCTCTGGCTTTCCAAGGCTGCATATGCTTTGTATGCAGGCACTCTCTGGGCTCATATAGTTTATTACTGTGTCACTGACTTTCTTTGGGCTGTATCAGCTGAAGATCAGGCCCCTGCAGACCAGCCTTATGAAAACTTTGCTTAGTAAACAGTTTGGCACGCTCACAAACTTGATGGGACCTCTGGGATAAACTCCTCTGGTTAGCTTCTTGTACATTGCCTAGCACCTTTGGTATCACTGTTGTCACAGGATTTTTCTTCTTTATTTTCAAAATAAACACTTACTCAGAGCTTGCATATATCTTTGCAAACATATTTCTTGCTCTTTTTCTTGCTGTTTGCCTTCACTACCCCCTACTCTTCTCATGGCAGCTCTGTACCATGGAATGGGGGCGGGGGTGCTATTTTTGCTAAATATTTCTATAGCAGAGCTGAAGTTATGATTTGCTGCGCCATGCTCTGCTGTAATAGCCAATTTGGAATGAAATGGCTACTAACATATAGGATTGTCCACTGAACTTAATGCTTCAGCTCTGCAAAAATACTTACTTCAGCCAGCCACTTTGGAAAATAAGTGATCCTTCATGACAGAGAAAAAGCTTCATTAAAAGGCTGTTTCGGACTCAGCATTGGGAAAGGACGCAATAGCCATTCCCCATTTTAAAGGGAATGGCTATTATCATCACTTTTCATTTCTAAGTTAATATCCGGTTTTCCCACTGCTGCCAAAGGAAACAATTTCAAGGAGAAACCCGCAAGGAGTCTGTAGCTGCATAATTAGTGTAGAGCAATGTGTTTTGCCCTTTTGATTTATAGACCCCTATAAATTGTTCAGTGGAGGAACGGCCCTAGTAAGAAGGGTGTAACAACTGTGGCTTATCCTACACGGAAGGTATCAGCTGATTACATTTGTTTTTCTTAGCCAACATTTCAGAGTCCTTAGAAGGCTCCCACAGATACCTGTGATATCAGCAGGGCTGTTTCCACTGCTGCTTAACTCTGTGCATCCCAAGAAAGCCACTGATATTTTATAAGTGTATTTTCCCATGGACTTAGACCAAAATCCTTTAGATTTTTACCATCTTTTTTTGTTGCAAGAAAAAACCCAAACACCCAACCCTCAAAGTTACTGCAGAGTATCAGACAGATTTTGTGTTTTTTTTCAAATCCTGTAATGTTGGAGTGGGTTATAGAGTGCTTACCTTGGTACGGAGCAGGGCACCTGTCTCAGCGCGATTCTTTTCAATGTCTCTCTCCCAGTGGATTCTGATTTTTTCCAGTATGTCGTCCAGGCCACTTCCCAGGGGAACATCAAGTTCTTCCACCTGAGATCCAGCAAGCTGCTTGTATAATACCTTCACATCCTTGAACAAAAATAACAGACATAAAAGAAGGTGAACTGGACAATTGAATGGTAGCTTCAGAGAGGCTCAAGGAAGAGCTCTTTCAGTGCCACAAACACTGGGAGAGTAATTAAATTTGGTCCCGAAAGGTGACTCTACATTAATGATTTAGTGCACTGGAAGGTTTCTTTTTCAGATATGGATTTGCCTTGCTTCTGCGTGGGGAGTCTTGCTGCAGATCTGGGGTACTGGAATTGGTTTTCCCCTTGGTGGAGGGACACTGAAGCCCTGCACCAATGCACTGCCTGGAGCAGCCCTCCCACAGTGGCAAGTTTCTCCAGCAGTCAGAGCTTGACATGCTGCGCACCCGGGACCCGAACCCACCACAGCTATATTGCCAGTAAAGCTGCAAGTGTGGACTTTGGGTCAAGGAACGAACAGCTTACAGCAAATCAAACCCTGCTCTTCCCTCTGTGCTGCACCATGCAGTAACATCGGCATGGATCTACTGGGAGAGACAAGGAGCTGTGCAAAACAGCAGGAGCTCTGCAGCCTCGCAGCTTGTGTGAGCCACATGTGTGCTTTTATGCGTGTGCATGTTGTTAGATGAAGAGCACTCTGTGACAGCACTCTGTTCCTTCTTTACATACATGGGCTCCAAAAACATGTAAGCAGTAGAGAGTTAGTGTGTCCAGAATTGCACACTTAGAGGTAGCCCATTGGTTGTACATTGTGTCCAGGAACACATGAATAAATGAGATTTGTGCATGTATCTGAACTGTCTGGCACCACAATCCTTTTACATCAACCTGTTTATATGTGCTATTGGCCTAAGCAATAGAAGTAGTGTAAAAGCATCTGGGAATTGTGTGTGTAAGCAATGACCCCTGACAGTGACGATACTGGGAGTGGATGGGAATTACGTGATTTCTGAACCTGCAAGAATGAAAGCCTCAAAATGTGCCCACTCCAAGTGCGCAAAAGCTTCCAAAGGACTCGACGTGGATTTCTGTGTGGGGGCACTGGAAGAAAGAAAGGTTTGAATTAGTTCAGGGAAGTCCTTGGGACTTTATTGTGCCAGAGCTCAGCTGGAGTAATTGCAATAGTTGCTTCCAGCCTTTATTCTGTGGCTTCTCTTGAGCAGCTTCCCCTGGTGCTGCTGCCATGAGAAAACCAGATCTGTGCTGAGGTGGTTCTGCTAGTGCTCAGGTACTCCCAATGGGTAAAGAAAGGAGCATCCTTCCACCCTGCAAGGACTCCTCACTGGCTAAATGCAGAGCAAGAGAGGCTGTTGGAAAGGAGTTGTTCTCCTTATGCCATATAGATGGGCAGAGAACAGCATCAGTGCCAGCTTTTCTGGTTTCACAGCAATCATTGCAATACCCGGAGGTTTAAAGGGGATCTTGTGTATTTCTGTCAATTTTCTGTTTTCCCTCTCATCTAAAAGGACTTCCATCTTTCTCATGCTGTGCAGTGGTGCTGAAGCCACTGACTGTTTTCTGCAAAATGCCAGCCTTGGGATTAGATTCATGAAAGCAGGGAGGGGATGAAGCAACCTCAGCTCGGCAAGCCAAGTCTCCATATGCCTGCCAATGTTGCTGAAATCCTGTGGTTGGAGAAATAACACGTAAGAATGTAAGGTAGGATAGTGCCTCACTTCCGTGGGCCATCTCAATTCAAACTCTCTTTTACCTTTGAGGCATCAGCACAATTGCTTGCTGTGCCTAATGTGGGATTAGTAGTAGCTCCATATTCGAGCCCCCATCAGCAAAGGTGCTGATTTGGGTCTGATCCCGCTGAAGGGAATAAACCATCTTCATGCAAGGAGTGCTGGTGAATGTAATGAGAAAGAGGGGAAGTATTGCAAAATTGGCTAGTAATGGGCTTCCCTTCTAGCTGCCTGTCCCTGTGGCTTGCTTCAGTGGTGGTGTTGTTCAGGAGAGACTCGGTTTTGTGAACTGTGCAGCTTGGTAAGCCAAGCAGGGTATTTTTGGAAGAACCTGGTTAATGCTCAGCATTAGTGTGGCAGGCCTGGAGCTGCAAATGTGTTTTCTCTTTACATCTCTGTCTGAGAATCAGACCTCACTGTTGAGATGCCCATATACGTGACTGTGCAACCCCGTCACCATCATGCGGTGTCTAGCAAGAAATGAAGTGATGACATCTCTTCCATGTCATATTTATCAGATGAGAAAGAGTTAAAGCTTAAATTTAAGTAATTTGATCATGCCTCAGAGGTTAGTGCTTTAAGTTAACAGAGAAGAGAGAAATAGGAGGGGGTTTCAGGAGAATCCCCCCAGCCAGACATGGCAGGCGGAGGCTTTCAGTGCTTGCTTTGCACTAGATGTACGATACTAGCCAGATGAAACAGGCACACATGGGCTTTGCAGTGTCCCGAGTCTGGACTTACTTCTTCGTGATTCTTTGACAGCAGAGTTAGTTCTTCTTTCATGCTCTCTATCTGACTCTCCAGATCCATTTTAGTTAAATTAGCATCATCAATCACTTTATACAGGGAATTAATTTCATCTTCCACTGCTTTTCTGAATGGCTGCTCATTTTCATACCTGCAAAGAAAAAAAAACCAAACTAAACCTTAATACAGCACAGCTCAGCAAGAAACACCTGCATTTTTTTTTAAAATGACACCATTGTGCAAATTAGCTCATGTGTCCCAGACAGACACACAGAAACACAGAAGAGATACTTTGCTCTCACCTTGTCTCACTGTACTTGAATTTGACTGCCTGAAGTACCCTGTCATTACCTCTGAGTGTAATAAAACCGTCCAAGTTAGCAGTCTGCGCTGTGGTGGCTATCAGCCTTATGGGATTCCTGAATAAGCATGGAGAGGCACGTGGTCTCTTGCTAGATCTGGTATTTATATACAGTATGACTATGGGGGGGGGGGCTTTTTCTCTGTTTGCTTGGCTGTACAATGAGAATAACTCCTCATTCATTTACATAAAAACTTTTCAGAGCAATGGTTAAAGAAAACACACGTGCATCGAGCATGATTTTTATTAACGGACATGCTGATGGAAGTCTGGTCTATGTTCCAGGGTCCCAGCCCCTCCTTAAGGCCAAATCCCAGTAGTATCAAAATAAAGAGGAAATCTGAGTGCTTGGTTTGTCAACTAGAATTGCTGTTACAGAAAATGGCTCGTTTCTAAACCGTGGCTGCAATGGTAGGTAAAATTGTGGCAGGCAGTTACTATTCCACAGCACTGCTTGCTGCGTCACTCGTGTCTGTACCTTTTCATTTTAGGCTTTCCACTGAAAATGTGGCTGAGTTGCATGGCGAATCTCCTCGGGTGGGAGGCTTTTGTGTCAAACCCATCCAACCTGGGGACCTGGTAGCCAGGGAGGTCAGACAAGGGGGTTGGCAGGTTAAACAGGAGCCAACTTCATAAAAAAGTCCTGCACTCTGCCCCTTGAGAGTCACCTTCGTTGCTGGGAGTTCAATAGCTTGGGAAAGTGGCAGCTGGTCCCAGTGAGAATGAGGAGCTTTTACTATGCAGTGGATTGATTTGACATTGTTTTTGTTATGCAGACTGCTTGTCCAAGTCAGCTGACACTTTTAAAAAATATTTTTTTAAAACTACTTAAAATATGAGCATGGCTTGCTGGACGTAAAGCCATAAAATGAGTATCTCAGAATCGTACCTTTCTGAAATAAAAGGCAAACCTAAGAACATGATTAACACACTTTTTGATATGAATAAATAAAATAATACCAGAGAAAGAGACAGAAATTTAAGGGATGATAAAAATCATAGCAAATAAAAATCAATTAGTTTGAAATAAGGTTTGTGTGTCAGGCTCTGCAGAAAACTACTCGTAAATGAATGAGTCCATTATGAGTAAAAGCTAGAAGGATCACATCTCCTGAGTAAAATTTAAAGAGCTTTGCAAACAGAAAGATGTTAAAAAAGTAGTTTGCTTGCCAGTATTTAAGATCATCTTTTACTATTCATTTCTCTCAGTAAAGACAAAGAAAATCAGTGCAGCCCATTTCTGTTTTCTTATCTAACGTTTCCACGCTGACGTTTGTCGTGGTGCAGTTTTACCTTTCCAGCTGCTGCAGCAGAATGATTGTTACTTCCAAAACCACTTGTGTGGTACTGAAAATTAAAACTAAAAACCACATGGAAGTTTGCCTTTATAAAATGTCAACCCAAATTTGAATGAATACTGATCTCTCAGTAAGAGATCAATGTTCGTCTAGCAAAGAATAGCTTAAGTAATTTTGCTAGTGCACATTTTTGTTACTATAAATCTTCAAAATCTTCCAAAACATTGTTAGCATAGTAATTATTTTACTGTTACCAACCCCCTCCCAAGTCAGGTGGTTGAATATTCATTCAACTTAAAAGAACGAGCCTGTTCTACTCACTAGGCATTACTCCCCTATAGAGTAAGCGTTTGCCAAGGCAAAGTTTCAAAGAACGTGGCCAGCTAGATGCCACCACGAGACTACCTGTCTTTAAAGTCTTCAGCACAGGCTTGAATGTTCTCCGTGTGAAGCATAAGACGAGCATTTTCAAGGACTGCTTCGCCCACCTAGGAGAAAGAGACAACAGAGCTCAAGCAATGAAGAGCTTCAGCATATTAGCTATGTGCACCATACACGTGCCTTAAGCAGATGTATAGCTTTGATTCTGAAAATAATCCTTTAGCCTAGGGCTGTTCACGTGACTCATTCCAGATAATTTAATCAATTAAGTTTGTACATATAAATTCACAAATTCTCTGCAAATAGGCTGTAATTTGTCATCAAACTGTTCATTGCTCCTAAGCTTTCATCTTCGTGTGGAAACACATTTATTCTGATTGTCAGCTGGTCGCAAAGGGCAAAATTTGTTACTGTGCGCAAGGTACGTTCATCATTTAAGTCCCGCTTATATTTTCTAGATACAGTTTAAGTAGCACTTATGCAGTTCCTATTCTACTTCCCATATCAGCAGTCCTCTTCAGGGTCGTCCTCTTCAGTGAGCCAAGGAATACTTGTTGCTCATGCCGCCTGTGAGCCGTCCTCAGCTCCCAGAGCGTCGTTTTTCTTCTCTGATGGGATCCTGTAAGCTCTTGCGATAGATATGAGACCTGAGAAGCAGGCAGTCTTCAAAGATTATTATATCGAATGTGAAATGCTTTGGAAAGATTGTGCAAATAAGACTGTGGTATCATTGCTAGGGCTTGGGGGGGATCTTTAATGCCCAGGAGGCACTTGAGGGGTGAGCAAACCTGAAAGGCTTGTGACATAGCAGCTTGTTCTGATTCAAAAGGGTTATAAAAAATGATAGAGGTAAAAGACGACCACTGCCTGCCCTGGACTCACACGTGCATGGAGCTATAGAGGTGACCGAAGATATGCTGAATTCAGTACCAGGATTAGAGCAATCATCTCTGCAAATAACTGTCTGGGGGCTCCAGCCACGCCGGGGTCCATGCCGCCACTCTGGAGGAGCTAAGCTGAACACCTCTTTGGTCTTTTTCAGGAGATTTGCAGTTGAAACTAAACCACCACGTGAGTAAGAGCAGCTTTTTAAGCGGGCCAGGAGAGTTCTTGAAGCAGAAATCTTTCTTTAGATAATTAAGTCTGCCACTAAATGAGATTGCAAATCCCCCGAAGCACTCTGCTCCCCGGAGGTGAAACAGGCCATGCAATGTGGAGGCATCGAGGCTTCGTCCAGACAAGTTATCTCAAGTACCACAAGTGGGATTGTTGCCTTAGAATGGTCCTACCTGCTCCTTGGCCTGCTGCTTGGGGATGGGGTGGAGGTGGACATGCAAGGCTGAAGCATTTCTATGTGGTAATTAACACTCATCCTCACGAAAAGCGGCTTACTTCTCCCAATGTCTTACAGATGCTTGAACAAACAAACATGAAATATGTGAAGGCATCTGATAAGGAGAGATCTGGAGGAATAACCTATTCCCCGCACTGAGAAGTCCATAGTGGATCATGAAGTCAAAAGCACTCTGCGTCTTTTAAGTCTGAGGAGGCGTGAGAGTTAAAAAAATAAGTGGTTTGCTTACTTCTCACCTACTGTTAGGAGCAAAAAGGGAAGGTGGCTGTGGCTGGAAGCCTGGGGCTGGATCTCCGTTCCTGCCAGTGCAAGCTCGGGGCTTGGCTTCCAAAGGAAACAGAGTTCATGCCATTGCATGAATTTTTCTCTAATAACTGGGATTTCTTGGCCAATTCCAACTGATACGATAGACGGATAGGCCATCTCAGAGACATGCAGTTCCAACACATTTCATGAAAATAGCACCTAGACAGAGGAGGGAGGTCCTGTGAATACTGCCACTGGGTAAAAAATCCCAGTTTTGGCATGAGAAAATCTGAGAGCGCAGCAAATGCATAGGAGTCCGAGATGTTAGGAAAGCCGTAGGTGTGGGCAAAGAGAGGGTACCTCTTTTATGTGCTCTCTTGCACGCAGAACTGGCTCTTCTTCATTGTTCAACCCCTTATTTCCTTCTCCCTGCTTTTTTGCAACCTCACTTTACCAGCACTGGCCTAACTCCTCAGCCCCTGGGTTGTCCCTTCTACAGAGCCGGGACCTTGGGGACATGCTGCTCTGCCGTCCTCAGGTCCCTTTGCACCAGGAGACCTGAGTTTCTCCTGAAAGATGGAGAAAAGACATTTAGTTTTTACATGGCAGCAGCATGGAGGTAGAGGCAGTTGTTTGCCCCAAACTCTGAATTTTTGGTTGTCTGGGGGTTTTTTCTTCTTTTTTTTTTTTCCCTTTTCTTTTTTCCTGCAGAAGTTATTTTGTCGTCCTGCCAACTGATACATGTGTGGATCTTCAGAGAAGCTTTTATTTTTTTTCCTGACTCAAATCAGGGAGCAGAAGCGCTGCCCTGTGATTTGCCCTGCCCTGTCAAAACAAGCCCATTCGACGCCGGCAGTGAGCCCATGCGGTTCCAATATCTGACCTAAAGTCTGATGAAAATGAATGTCTTTAAGGGAATTGGGAAGATCCCATGAGCAAAAGTAACACTAAGTCCTGTGAGCTGCACAGTGTCACTCAGAGGTATGGTAATGGCTAAGTTTAGAGGCTGAATCCAGTGTAAAATGGCTTTTGGGCTGCATTGAAAGAAGAAGCAGGGAATAGCTGGTGATTTTCCACTGCCTGGATTTCTGCCTCTATGCAGTGGAAAACTGGGTTTTAAAACTGCTTTTCAGTAGTAATCTTGTGCCTTTATTGAAGCATTTGAGGTGGCTTCTTACCTGCCCCACAAGTGGATGTCCCTACCAGAGCCCTGGTACCCCTGAGGACTCGGTTAATACCCGACTCCTCCCTTCACAGACCGGCAGCTAATGCCAAACATTCAGTGAGAAAGTCTGAGGCTTTCCAAAACTGCACACAAACCTGAACTGTGCCGTGCAAGTAAAAACGGTATAAAAAAATCTGATGTTCGGAAGGCTTCAGGGATGAGTGTTGCAGTGGGAGCCAGCAGGCATTAGCCTTGCAGCTCTCCTGGAAATGAGCTGTATGCGCTTTACATCCAACAGCAAACCTGAAGGTTAAATAATTACATGGTAGCTTCTACGTAGAAACCAGGTTTCCTGAAAACTTCTCCCTGATTTGCATGAGCTATGAAAGCCCTTTTCTAGGCTTGAGGAGAAGAGATGTAAGACTTCCATCTAGTGGCTCTTTTGTTTGATTTAATTCTCCTAATAATCAACAGCTGGGTGCAAACACGCAGCATTAGTGAGGCGGATTCATAGCCACTTTGCTGACACATGTACTAAAACGCATGATGCAGCAGTTTAGGAAACACCCTTCTTCATGTGCGTTGGAAACGAGAGGGCTCGCGATGCCACAAGCACTCAGATATTGCCTCCTCTGCTTGTAAAGTAGAAGGCAATGCTGTCCTGACTCGCAGGGCTTCTGGGAGGCTTAATTCACTGATGCTCATGTGGCATTTAAACAGCGAAGATGGGAAGTGTTATCAAAATGCAAATATTATTACTAATAATAGCTCCTTTAAGTCACATATTGTCTTTCAACATGCGCACCTGTGACACACATACACCTTTTGAACAGGATTTTTTTTTCAGCTCTTGAATTAACACTGAATATTTGTGGTGTAAAACATCTTAACTAGAAAGCAGCAACAATTGTCTTTGATTTCACTGTGATTTTATGGACGTGAAAACACCATTTTAATTTTTAGCAGAAAAAAATCTTATCAAAATCTGCATCAACGTACTAGTCCGTTTACTGGGTTATGACTGGCAGCAAGGAAAACCAGCTGCTTCAAGGGAGTTTGCAGAGTCCGGCCTCGATAAAGTGGGATGTGATACAGGCACTTACAAGGAGAACTTATCCCTGGTGACTAGCTACTTTTGATTTTTAACAGAGATCTGATCAAGTTTGGCACTGCAAGATTTACTACGCCTTTCAAGTTCTTAGCTATGCTTTATCGATAGCTTTGTACAGTTTTGCTACTCTTACAAATGCCTAAATCCTTTGTGTATGCTGCTAAATTTGTGGCCTCAGGTGTGGCCTGTGATAATGAATCTCATGGTTTAATTATTCATGTAATGGAAAATTATCTGGCTTTTAAGTTCACTTCAGTTAAAGCAAATGATGCCTCCATGGAGAAAGACCAGAAGATGCTGGTCTAGTCTTTCCTTCCACACAGAGAAAGAAATGGTTGATATCAGCCCATTGCCTCCAACACATTGCAATTCACAGCTAAAGCCAGCTCAAAGCATGGAACCCAGTGCCTGCTGCCTGGGTGCCAAGCAGTAAACTCGTAACGCTTTTGGTCATGCTTTCATGAGGAAGGAAAACTCAAAGGCCCCAAGAATGGCATTTGTTGCATCCCCTTGGGAAAGGTAATACCTGGAGAGAGGCTGGGAACATTGATGGGTCCTTTGCCGATTCCTGCTGCATCCAGGAAAGCACGACTTCATCTGTACATCGAATGCTTTATAAGGGAATGGGACTGCATCAAAGAATGCCTGGTTCTCAAAGCAGGAGATACCTCCTACAGAAACAATCCGTAAAAACTGTAATGTTGCCTAAGCACAAGGAGAAATCTCACCCCACCTCACAGCTGTATGTGAAGGTAGTCCAAGGTTACGCTGTTGGAGGTGGCTGAGAGAACATAATTAAAACTAATTTATTGCCATCCTCTGTACGGTGGTTGACGAAGCTCTGTGTCATTTTGCGGGAATTTGTTGTGCCCTCATATAGCAGCAGAATGCTATTTCACCCATTTGCAGACACTGATCACGCACTGTGCTCCGTCAGAGTGTGTTACAGGGAATACTCAGCAGCTCTCCTGGCCCCGTGGCAAATAGATTACTGGGTGTGAGTCCAAATGCGGCGATTCCTCAGGGTCTCAGTCCTGTATATTCTCCAGGCTTAATACTAACACTGAGTAAATGCTGACAGTAAGGCCGGTGCAAATAAAAGTATCTCTAAAGAAAAACTCTGGTGATCTTTCAAATGCTCCCAACCATGCACAGGAGTCACAGCAGTGGTAAAATTGGTGCAGGATGTTGATTCCTTCTTCTGCTTTTGTGTTTACTCCTGTGATCTGAACTGCGCTATGTGCCATCTCATAGACAAAATAAATCTCTGTGTCTCCCACGCAGCCGTAATTGAACGGTCACAGAGGCTGAGCTACCCTCTCCTCTGTCTAAACTCTCTGAGATTATTTCAAGCGTCCACTTTTCCCAGGTGCTGCCCTGCTCCCTGGGAGGAATTGCCTTTACAAACAACCTCTTGGTCTGTAGAAGAGACACATTTGATTAGAGAGAGAATTTTCCACAAGAAAACCAGGATGAAGCCTGGAGAAAAGGAGTATGCCTAGGGTAAAATGAGATGAATGTGTACTTCTGTCACAGGAATTCCTCTCTACAAGGATTCCTCATTTCCCTCATTTCCTGCAAAAATCCTCCCATTTTGCGCCTGCCCCAATTAGTGTGTGCCCACCTGCTCTGCTAAAAACCAGCTCCCCAGGCAGATAATTAAGGCTGTGAGCTGGATAGTGTCTTCCCACCATTCAGCTTCTGTCAGTGATCCCCTGCTGCAGTCGTAAGTCCAACAACTGCAATGAAACATGAGTGGTTTTTTCCCCAGAGGTACCCTCCACTCGTATCCTCGAGGCACTTGTTGCCACTTTTTTCCCCCTAGCTTTGTGTTTGGGCAAAAGGCTGGCACCCAGTTGTTATTGCTGGGAGGACAACTACCTGAAATTTGGGCTGCTGGAGCACATCCCAGGAAAAGCAGGAGGGAAATGGGACCTCAGGTCCGCTGGACTCTCTCCTACCCCACTGCAGAGATGGGCCCGTCACATTCCTGATTTTGGGACCAGGAGAGTCCTATGTGGCCGAATCTTTGTCTTCTCACTAGCAGGGCAAGAGGAAGGGGCTCCTGTCTAATCCCCCCCCCCCCCCCGCCCCCAAACTGTGTATTTTTCTTTGCTGCTTCTTGTTCAAAAACTGTTCCTATCATGGGCATTTGCATTAAACCAGGTGGCTGCTCAAGTGGCTTTCTGCCCCAAAACTTTCACAGCTGCTTCATGTGAATGGCACCAAGGGGTTTCACAGCTGCTGGGCATCCCTCCTGGCTGAACACATGGGGCTGGCCAGGAATCAAAATGAATCCTCAGATTTTGCAGGAGGCTGAAAAAAGGATATGCCATGTTAAGGCAGATGTGGACATCTATGGAAAATCTAAATATATTTTTAAAAAATTACATCTAGAAATGTATCTGCCAGGTATCTCTCATTTCTGTTACGCCTCGCTCCTGAACACCTTTTACTTTTCCCACTGGGACATGTCATGGCAGGACGGTACTGACTTTGTGTGATTGCAGCCATTTCTGCAGCAACTGATTTTGACGTTGTTTTAATAAATGTGACAGTTTCGGTGTTGATGCTGGCATACTTCTGCCAATTAGCTCCAGGATGCGTGACTTAATCAGTGCTTGCGCTGGGTGAGGTCCTACTTTCATTTTTGGTTACATGCTTAATATAAAAAAGCAAAGAAACCTATTAGCCAGAATTGTACCTAACAGCTCAGATTATATCTGAGAAAGTCAAAACCCACTAAGTGATGCCTCTTTTATTGATTTAACTGAAGTAATTTGGAAAACTTTATGTATTCTCTAATGTGTTTTAATGGTTAAATAGATACGGATGATGCTAATATTTTTCTCTTATTTTCTATGATACTTGCAAATGCTATTACCACATAGCTTTATTTTCTGGTTTTATATAGGAAAAGCCCAATATTCAAGCTAGATTTCATTATGGGCTGCTCTTCTTTACTCATAAGAAAGGGAGGTAGAGGCAAGGTGGCAGGATGACAATATAAAGGAAGGTTAGAAGGAAAGCGATTTGGATGAAAAATTATTACTTGAGTAGGTACATCTGCACTGCAGTGTTGGGGTTTCTTATAAAGAAAAATCAAACAGTCCTTCCTAAAGCATCTACTACGGTCCTACTTTTTTGGTCTTTACCGTAAGCCCCGGTAGGTTTTACGGGTGAGGTCTACAACCGCAAAAGGGGACACTCGTCTGGAAAACAGGGGATGGCAGCTGCAAAGCTTTAACCCCCCATCTCACTTCAAAGTGTCCATCTACCTCAGCGAGATGGTAGGTCCAAGGGTATGGCTTTTCGTAAGCACCCCAGAGTCAGAGCACCCAGTGCCTTCAGCAGCTGGTCCCTTCAGGAAGCTTTTTAGGCTTAGCGGCAGCAACGTCATTTAGCAACACAGAAAGATAACAACTTTAAAAGTTGGAGCTTAACTGCATGTTTCTGCTGACATGATCTTTGTACAACAGCTTATGCTGCCACATTCAGGGTTCAGGCGACATTTGGAGGGGTCTGGGTGAAGACCTGCCCTAAAAATGCAGCGCACAGTAAAAATGCCCCCTCTTTCCTACACCAGAGTAAAACTCTGGCCAGCCCAAGGTAAAAGACACAATTGTCCCGGGGAACTTAAAGTTGCCTTTTGGGCTTTCTGAAGACCCGCCGGCGGCATTTTCTGCGCCTGCACGAGTGCCGCCGGGGAGAGATGTGCAAGATGCCGGGCTCCGGCTCCTGGGGCTCCTGTCCACTCCTGCTGGCTGGGAGTCGGGAAGCCGGGACTCGCGAGGTGCGCCGAGACCTCAGGGGACAGAGCCTGGTGTTTGCTGCAAGCAGGGCATCAGCCTGCAAAGTCTTACTGGTCAGCAAAACGAACTGCTTCTTGTCCGTGAGGTCAATGCAAACACCATTTTGCATCCCCACAATAAACACTTTGCTGGAGAACCTGCAGCCTGCGCCGTACCGAGAAGGTGGGAGTACAGGGTGGTGGGGTGGTGACAGAGGGAAGGAAAGGAGTCACTCATTTGTAGCCATGTAATTATTATTTTTAAATAAATAGAGCTTTTGAAAATGTGATTAAGCAAACGAGGGAATAAAGTAAAAATCTGAATTGCTAATTAAAAAAAAAAACCACAACGTGCTTGTAATGATATCATGTTGAGGGATAAACTAATTCAGTCCTAGCAGTTTTCTTTTAATAATTTTGATGCTCAGTGTAATAACCACAGCTAAGAACAACAAAAAAAAAAGGAAAAAAAAAATAAAATCACCCATTTTAATCAGCGGAGACTATCGCGCCTCGGGGTGCATTTCAGTCACCCCCACGCGCAGGATGCCTGAGGCAATTCTCCTGCTTAATAGGCATTTTCCACAACACACTGTGAAATGATAATGCTAATTATCATGAAGATAGATTTAAAACCCTCCACCTAGCGCACCACGCCTTGAAATCAGGCAGCGTTCATCACCAGCATCAACCCTCGCTGCTCAGGGTTGCCGATGACTCGTGAAGCTCCCCCGGCCCCCCCTCTCGCTGCCGACAGCGCTCCGGCCCTCACCTGATGGTAAATCGCCTCCCAGTTCTCCCGCAGTGCTCCCCAGCTGCCCACGCTGGCCGCTTTCTTGTCCAGGTAGACCCTGATGTGCTCCTCCAGCTCCTGGTTGACCTGCTCGAGAGCTCGCACCTTCTCGATGTACTCCACCAAGCAGCCGTTCAGGCTCTCGTAGGAGAGGCCCCTGCCCTTCTCCAGCCCCGGGGCCAGGGGCACGGCGGCGGAGGAGCTGCGCAGACCCTGGAGGAAGACGCTGCTGATGCCCAGGGCTCTGCGGGACACTCGGGTGCCCAAGCTGCTCACGCCGCCGGTGGGGACGGTGCCCACGTAGACGCCGGGGGGTCTCGACAGGCTCCCTCCGCCCCCGACGCTCACCCGGCGGCCGGGCGGTCCCGAGCCCTCGGCCGCGGTGGAAGAGGGCTGCTGCCCCAAGAAGGACGACCGGCGCCTCGGCAAGGGCATGCTGCTGCTCCAGCCCGCCGAGCGCTGCCGCTCAGCCCGGCCGCCTCGGCCCGCACTGGCGGGAGGGATGTGCCGAGCCCAGCAGGTTGGGGCTCGCCGTGGGGTTTCGGCTTTGTGCGACGGCTTTCTGGAAGGGGGGCTTTGTGCTGCCCGGGAGCGCCCGTCACATTGTCTGGGCGGCCGCTGGGTCAGCAATCCCATTTCAGGGGAAATCTCCCTGCTGCTGCTGCTGCAAATGTGGCAGATGAAAAGCACAATGCTGTTTACAGGGACAGCGGGACGGGGATTCAGTGCAACGTACGTGTTAAAATACCAGCGGTGTTTTCTGCGCTGGCACCCGGATGATTTCCTATCCTTATGCCCACAGGTATCTAGATGTACTTTACAAATACATTGGCCGCTCACACCCGTGCTTGCTCCAGGCAGAGTCTGCTGCAGCAAGACGTTACCTAAAGTTAGCAAAGCCCAAACTTCGGAGGAGCCAGCAGGGCCACGGCCGAGCCAAGCCGAGCCAGCCTTTCTCTGCCGCACAGCCTCGAACGCTCCCTCGGCCCTCCTGCAGCTTCTGGATTTCTCTGCACTTTGGCTTCACCTTCCGGCCAAGGCACGTTGCCCCAAACCCAGCAGATTTTAACCAGGGACAGGCACCCTCACGTCTACCCCTGCTCAGTCGGTTTAACGTCACGTTATCATCAACTGCACTCGGTCTGTTCAACAAGGGCCCATTTCACTTTGGCGACGAAGTGAGACAACTGTGAACCAAAAGAAAAGGATGGAACAATCCCTGAGACTTACTGCAGGGGAGGCTGGGGGGGGGGTTCCCCTGCTCTTCTTTTTGTGTCACTTATCTTTAGCAACTAGAAATCAGGTGGGTAGTTTATAGGTACGTAAGGTAGGTAGGTTTATAGGTACGTGTGTGGTACAGCAGGATATGTCACTATATGATGTTAGGTATAGTTTATCCTACCTACACATAGGGATGCTTCACAGCCAGGGTGCCAGACTTGTTCCAGTGTAGGAGTACCGTGTGCGCATCTTTGTAGGCATGCCTGTAATGTGCTGATGTTGGGCATTGCCCTAATGTGGTGTAGGTTTGTACAGGGGCGGCGGTGAGTCTTTGGCGAGATGGAATACAATCAGAAATCCCTGTCTTCCACGAGTGCCTAATCCTGGCTTGCTGGGTTTGCGGCTGGAGTTTGTTTCGCTTGTTTTTTAAGTTTGAGAGCTGTGAGACTGCCTACGGTCAGGTGGCCATTTCCCAGTTGTGTGAAGCCTGGTAACAGTGCAGCATCTCACAGCTTTGCAAATATTTTTGGCTAGTTTCTAGGCATTCTGCATTTAGATTACCAAGCAAACTGTGCTGGCTAAATGAGAGGAATCCTCCAGTATTTCTTACATAACATTTTCAGTGTATTTGCCCTGTGTCAAATAAAAAAAAAAAATCTGCCTTGCAAAAGCAATACCTCACACAGAAAACAAATGTAAAAATACAGACTTTTTTTGCAAAGAACTGAATTTAGTTCTCTGTAACCTCGTTCTCCCTTTCCACCTCCCTGTTGAAACAGAAGATGAAGGTCCTCAGGGGATTGCTTTCGCTCTTGGCAAGACGCTCAGAAAGTTTTTACTCTACAATCAACAAGTGATTTCCAGGAGGCCATTTATTGTTTGATCATGAGGATTGCAGATATCATATTGCGTAGCGTTTACCCCATGGTGAAAAGATATATTCCCAAAGTGTCCATCCATGTCCATGCACAGCCATGTCTTCCTGCCTGCCGCAGTCACCTCGCAGGGAGGCGGTGCATGACTCTCCGATTCTGAGCAGAAAATCAAGTATCTAGAAGAGCCCCTATAACATTTCAGTTTTCTAATTTTAGGAAGCCTGTAGCCTGCGTTCAGGTTTGTGCCTCGGCACAGCAGAAGTGCACATGTGGGACAGGGAGAAAGGACGGGCGACAATGCCTCACGTCTTGGTCTGATTCCAGCCATCATTTAGTAAAGTTGTCAGGTTGCTCTGGCTAACCGCAGCCACTGGGACACTGCTGGCAGGTGGGAACAGCTGGACCAGATGTGCCGCTGCTATAATTCCCTTTTCTGGTACCAGCCGTGGTTCACCTTGAACAAGGCGTATGGTTAATGATGCTACGCTAACCCTGTCCTGCCTGAGCTTCCCTTCCACACAACCAAGCGATAAACCTGAGTGGCCAGTGGAACAGAGCAGCCAGCTGGAGCAGGGGGTAAAGTCCCTGCTGCCTCACAGCCTGCTCCCCATGAAGTCAGGAGTGAAGGTAGAAAGTAATGTACAGGGACTGATGGCCAGAGGCAGGGAGAGGACGGCCAAGACCTCAAAGGACAGAGACCATTTCACTTGCCGAACGATACAAAAAAGGCAATTTGAGAAGCAAACCTGAAAATTGGTCCCACGGTAACAGTTCTGGGTTACTCAAAGAGAGAGCATCGATTTAGGCAAAGTCATTCCATGTTCCATGTTAGCCTCTCCTTGTAACAACCTATTTTTTAATCCATCATTTAAGCTTTGCTCAACCCTACTATTCCCCTAACACTATTACAGCCTGCAATCTAGTGCTTAACTGGGTAGGACTGAAATGCCATTTTGCTCTGAAACACTGCGTTTTCATTCCTAAGGGGGGGGAAGGAAAGTCTCAGAGAGGAGAGGGGGATATGAGGAAACTTGATTCTGTGGCACTAGCAGTCTCAGCACACAAGATAAATAAAACAGTGGGGAAGTGGAAATGTGGTCAAAGCTACAGCACTGAATTGGTGGGAGTCCCTAGTCACCAGATTTCAAGATTTCTGATAAATTCAAAGGAGGTTTCTGTTCTGTTGAAGGGGACACTACATGTCTTTTTTTGAGGCTGTTTGCTCTGCAGGAAATAATCCACGAGTCACTGGGCCAGAGCGGAGCAGCTGTGAGTCCAGCATGTACTGTGGTTAGGACATTTATGCAGGAAAAAAAGTCATTCTTGTCCTTGCTCACGTAGAACAGTTTTAGAGCTCAAACTGGAACTTGGCTCTCCTGCTGAAGTCTGAAGAAGGTCACATAAAAAAGTCATAGGGCAACATTACTACCCCATTGGGTTTATCTATATCTTGCGCGGCCCTTGGATCCCACCGGTGCATGAGGTTTGTTTATCATCCCACTGTATCCCAGTCCCTCTGCTCTGCCGAGCTGGAGTCGTGCAGACGATACAAGGCTGGCACACGAGCCGTAGGGACTGCTTCTGGCAACCGAGCTGGTCCTGTCTGATTTATATTCCAGCTTGGCAGTCTAAAGGAAAGGAGTGACCAAAGTCATTTCACAGCAGGAGAAGGGACGGTCACCGAGCAGGAATGCTCATGGCCAGGCTGATGTCATGTAGGATGCAGGATGCTGTACTCAACACAGGCTACCTGCCCCCAAATCAGCCTTACCCAACATTCTTCCAGACCAAGTATATCTGGCAGCAGATTGTAAATGACAGTGAGGAAACCAGTCCATCTGACAGGTGTTTTGCTTAGAAATACTTTTATTTTATAAAGCCACAGTTTGTTCTGTAAAGTTTTACCACACTTATAAAAAAAGGGGCTGACAATTCTGAGGGAGAAAAGAAAAGCTGAAAACATTTCTTGTAATTCAGGGTTACACAAAGGTTATATTTATAATATATATATATATTTGTAATTTGGAGACAGTAGAGATGAAACTGCAATACGGGGGCAGCTGTGGGGTCATATTTCAGAGACTTGCTCGTGCCCTACAAATAGCGTTTCTTGACAGAAGGGGTTCACGAGGACCATCCCGCTGTCGCGGTAGTCGCCGTTGGCGGGGGAGCGCGGCTCGGAGAGGTGATCCTAGGAGAAAGACAGAGAAGCAGGGTGAGCACTTCACACCCCTCACCCTCCATGAGCACCCAGGGCACTTCGCTGCCCTCTGCAAATGCATGTGAGGAATGGACTGCTATTTTTATCGTTTCTCCCAATCCTCCAAAAGTGCCTGAATTTGGGGGACTCTGGCTACCGATGAGCTAAGTTCAGTGAGCTGGTTTTACCTTTCTTCAGGCAGTAGAAGCTGTGAGTGAAGAGCTCCTCTGGCAGTGAGGCTGATTCCTTCCCAGTCTGGGGACCCAGAAGTCAGATGCACCAAACTTCAGGTCCCTTAGCAGAATTTGAGGTTTCACTTTTTTTTTTTTTCCCCCACTTCCATGATGCATTGCAACAGTCTTCTGTCTATCAGCTGGGCTTGACTCCTCAAAGATGCATTTTCAGCTGCTTTTTAAGGTCAGAAAACCACATACATGGTTCCAAGCTACCTGAGCGTGCCCCAGTTCAGTCATGTTCTGATCAGGTTTAAAATGACTCAGATAACAGCTTTTGGAGACCATCCTAGATGTGAATAGGCCTAGCATTCAATTCTTGGTAAGTCTAGACTAGGTCCTGCCTTAGCTTGAGCAACCTGATTGCCAACAAAGTGGGGTTAAGGAAGCAACTATGAGTGCTTGTCTAATCACATCTCAGAGGTTCCTTTCTAAACACTTCTTTTTTTATTTAATGAGATGAGTTAGTCAGCTAGTGGAGTGGAAAACCACTTTAGCATAAACCCAAACTCTCCACCACTTCTAGGTTTTAAACACCTTTGAACTAAACTAAATTGTTCTTCTCTATCTCTGAGGCCAGGGAATACATTTCTATCAGTAGGATCACCTGCCCATATATGAATAATCCCATGGAACCAGTCAGATCCCTTAAGTAAAGGCTGATGAGTCTGCCAACCATCACTACACACTCTCATATATTAATGTTTTGATTGCTCATATACTGGGAACACTCACCCCCAGAACTGGTATTTGAGAAGCTATAGGTGGCTCCCAAGACATAAATGCACAGAATTTCTTTGCATTATTAACTCCCGCTCCCCCCCCCCCCTTATCTGATGCTGTGTGCGACACGCACAACGGACAGATTAGAAGGACCCACCGTCAGTAACAAGCCAGCCCAAAGAG